TGTGATTGCCTTGGTCCTCCAACCCCCTCCCGTGGAATCGTACTTTTCTACTATGACCTCCCTCCATAGAGCATACTCTTCTACCCCGAATCTCCACAGCCACTTCTCCAACAAAGCTCTGTTGAATACCCTAAGATCTTTTACTCCAAGTCCACCCCACTTCTTTGGGGAAGTGATTGTCTGCCAATTCACTAGATGAAACTTTCTACCTCCATCCGCCGCATCCCAAAGAAAATTCCTTTGAAGACGCTCCAGTTTTTCTGTGATGCTCAGAGGAGCTTGCAACGCGGACAAATAATAGGTGCGCATACTCGATAAAGTGCTTTTAATAAGCACTTCCTTACCGCCTTTTGACAAGTACCGTATCTACCAGTCTGCTAATCTTTTTTCAACCCTTTCGACCACTGGATTCCAAACGTAGTATCCTTATGCGAAGCGCCCAATGGGAGACCCAGGTAAGTAGTGGGAAGGGAGCCCACCTTACATCTGAGAACATAAGACAAAGCAAATGTTAGCAACCTCACCCACCGAGAAAATCTCACACTTACCGAGGTTGATTTTAAGTCCTGATACTATCTGAAACCACTGCAAGACCTACAGTGATTTTACATAAGACTGTAGTTCTTGTCTTCTTTAAACAAGAAATGGCACAAGACGGAAATCAAACCGGAACTTCTGAGGAATAGTTAGCATACCCTCTTTTACTGGATTTGGTGAAGTCACCGTCTTGCAGTTGCACCTAATAGGCACAGACTCAACTCAGACACCTTGACCATACCATAACGTGTACACTCAAATAATATTTAAGTTTAGCCTGTACCTAAACCGCATTGAAAAGAGTAAAACGTATCTATTTGATACCTATTTTTGGGTCCAGTATAACTAAGTTAAAGAATAAAATTGTGTCTTTATTGTGTCAGATTATAAATATACCAAACCCTGGAACTGCATCACTTCATCTAGGCATTGATAAAAATAAAAATCAATTGCTTTTGAAGCTAATTTCTTAATTGAAGCTCCACAATTTTTTGAGCGAAAAAAGAAGAAGCTAATTTCTTATTCTCTAGTAACATCTTACTTTCAATAAGCATAAAATTTCCATCTTATAGATTGAGGCATAATACCAAATGCGATTACTGCTCTTTGAAGGAATTAGCTGAAAGCTCCAAACTTATGTTCCAACAGACATATAACATGCATTATCAACTAACTACTAACCCAATGAGCCCGTGGTAAACCTGCTAAGTGGGTTGTGTCACATTTCCTCTTACCGGATCCCAGATAGAAAGTTTTGGTTTAGATCAGCAAGCAGTTGGGCTGGGTAAATATCTCTGTCTACCTCACCCAAGTTTGCATCCTTAAGACTTCTACCCCATAAAAAAAGATTTACAAGAAGACTCCCAAGTAATATAGGCATTGACAAATCACCATGGAAAGCATACCTTGGCAATATACTTGGTGTCATCTCCCCTTCTCTTCACTTTAACCTGCCACCAAAAAGATACTTCATCTAAAAGTGCATTTTTTATATGCATATGTTAGAAAGTTTAATAACGATGTGGGTAAAAAAACCTTCTATACTTGCAAGAGGTCTCCACCATTTATGACTAGCAAGTCAGAAGCCATGTATACACTTGAGAATAGTGAATAACAAAAGTAGGGCTTAGAAATGGACCTTGATGACATGGATGGAGTAAATTGCAAAAAGGGATGGATTTTCACGTGGTGATGTGGATTAGGAGGGATATTTTTTCCTTGGGTTAGATAACCCAAACGTGATCTCTTTAAGTTTTTTTAAAGCCAAATTACAATTCTCTAAGACTTTGCAAAGTGCCATCCAAATCGTTTAGAATTTCTCTTTGCCATTGAGTTTAGAGATTATTGCCCTTTGCTATGCCAATCATTTTCCTAGCGGAAAGAAAGTCATCCACGTCAGGAGACATGAGCCTCTATTTTTTATGTCAAGTTGTTTCTCATTTGAGTAGTCCCAACACCCCTATCGCTGTAATTAGAGGGAGAAGTGCATGGAAATTTTCATTACCATGCATTTAGATTTCCTTTCCAGCAAGTTTTTGACAAAAAAATGTTGCCCAGGATGAAAAGCTGAAACAAAGTTCAAAAAACTAGAAAAGAAGTGTGACTATAAAATTTGTGGAAGGCACGGTGCAAAGCCTAAAAAGTAAAGAAGACAAATTGTGGAGTTACTTTTTCACTTCTACATCTTCTGCACGCTTTCTTTTTTATAACAAATCAAAAGTTTGCTTCCTTCACGAATTCACCTTTAACAAAAAAAGAAAAAAAGAAATAAAGTGCATGTTAACCTTTTTCCAAAAATGCAGTCTAATCCTAAAGTCAAGCCTTGATCTGTGGACCGTGGTTATGGATGACCTAGATATTCCCTCCTCTCAGAAAAAGAAATATTATATCCAACACAAACCACACTACAGGGTTTACATAACAAAACAGAATTACAATTATGATTTACTGGTCATGATATACAATTCACATGTCACCATTTGCTCTAGTTTAAGGGCTTTATATTATTTCATGAAAAATGTTTTCTAGAAAAATTCATAGCAGGCTAATACAAAATTCATATTATAATAAAAGCAGATAGACACATGGAAGAGTTAATTAATAGGAAGAATGTCAGTATAGCAAAGTAAAATTGCAAAAATACCTGGGTATGATGTTCAACACAATGTGCATTTGTCAAGAGTTTCCCATCACCAATCATGAAAGCACTGAACAGATCAAACAACAGTCAGAATCGTAGACACTCCCACCCCCTGTCCTAAAAGATGTAACACACACACACACACATAATATTGAATTATCGTACAGAACAACAATTCCTCATAAGTAATTACACATTATGGAACAACTTCATTCCATGTCTCCTAATGAGAATCAAAAGCCATTAAGCCCAATCGAGAACAACTTTTTGCAGGAAATTTTCTTTTTCTCACAACTTTTAACGGAAAAAATAAATTTGAGCAAAAGCTGGAAATGCATGCCTTCCTGTACTTGCAAATTGTCTTTGTTTCTGCCAAGGGAGGGAATAATCTGGAGCGGTGTGTGTACAGTAAACCTACAGATAAGCATAATGGAAAAGGAAAAAGTTAGTCCATTACATTTTAAATTTACCATGCATTCCGGGAAATGATTAAAAATCCAACTGCAGATATATGTGAAATGACTATTCATACTGTTAATATACCTACTGATGCTAAAAAAGAAAATTGATTGCCATTCATTGTTTATGGAGGTCTATGTCATTCTATGTCATTCATCTTAATATTAGGGTATTTTAGACCCTAATATTAAAATATTGAAATCAACTTATGTCAAATGGAAGCGTCAACGAAGCATACAAAAAAGGCACCAACAGTTTTTCTTGAGGCTAGCATACAATATTTAAGATCAGACTATGTGGTTTTCTATTTGTATATAACAATATATGGCTTAAGACATCAGATAATCGGGAATTTAGTCTCAACTCTAAACACAGCAGTGAAGAGATCATTAAGCAAGGATGAGCTGAGATCAACAATTTGCTACAGGTCTAGTGGTATGGGTCAGTATAGAATGTTAGTAGGAGCTAAAGGATAATACTTGGTAGGAGCTAAAGGTTCAACTCTCCTGGAAAAGGAGCTAAAGGTTCAACTCAGTCAAACAATTAACAAATTAAAAAGAAATCTTGAGCTTCAAAGATGAGGCCTCCAAACGAAATGAGCATAATAAAAATATTGACATGTTAACCACATATTTACCTTCACAACAGCATTCATAAAAGTTGCATCTTCAATGATACCAATTTCTACCTGGAAAAGAAAGCAACTTGGATAGTGGGGTGTGGAACAGAAAGACAACATGAAACTTCGTTTAGGGACATGATAAAGAAGAAAGGACTTATAAGCACCAAACTAAAATAATTCAATGAGTAAAAGCATTAAGGATCAAATAAACAGGTGAATGGAAGCTAATATGGACTATGGAGATAACACAGAAGTATCAAAGTACACACGAACTTTGATTGTCCATGAGAACAGCCTTATATCTAGCAAAATCAATCTCGAGAATATTGCTGTTGTTTTCAAGCACAGCAAAAAACAGTGAAAAGGTGACACAAACATAGTAAAGTAGAAGAAAATGCATATTGCATCCCAACCAGGCAAATTAATGACTCTTATGGACAGATCAAGAACATCACTGTGTGATAAAAACTATGGCAGAACCAAGATATGTGAAAAATAATAAGGCTTTTCAGGTTCTCAACTCACCTTCCCTCAGTGACCCAGCTTTCTGCCTTCTAATTTATAGGTCTCATGAATGAGAAAGAAAGAAAGTCACCTCGACAGCACAAACAGAGGAAGTAATATTACTGTCTTTCATACCTGCTGCTCCTTTGACTCAAATACAGCTCCCTTTCCTGCTCCTTTCCTCTGCTGACCAGATAATTTAAATGCAGTTGATTGAGATCGCCCTGCTTCGTTTTTACTACTTCTACCATCTTTATTTGCCAATAGCCTTTCGTCTTTTGATCTCCATGGGAAGTTCTGCTTACCAACTGCTTTCTGAATCCATCCTTTGCTTGTTAAATAAAATCTTTACTGATGAACAAAAAGAAAAATACCTTTTTTCTAAATTAGGACAAAGTAACATGACAAGCTGCACGGCCATGAGTACTGAAAAACACGAACTCATAAGAGCAGTTCAGGCTATATGAATCATCAAACTTACGTGGAATTCAAGCACGAGCTATCAACAACAAAAGCTTTTGCTGCGTGTTTCCTTCACCAAAACTGTCCTTCACTAATTCATTAGTTATATCTTTTTCATCAAGTGACAACAGAACAAACAATAAAAAATTTGAATTCCAACTTCTTTAAAAGAGTGTTATAGGAAGTTGCCAAAAGCAGAAGACATAGTAGCCTTTGAAGAATACAAGAGAGCTAAGAGGGAAGTTAAGAAGGCTATTAGTAAAGCCCGAGGGGAAGCTCTAGATGGCTTGTTCCAAAAGTTAGGGACACAAGAAGGGGAGAAAGAAACGTTTAAACTAGCACGACTGAGAGAGAAGAAGAGTAAGGATTTAAACCAGGTGAAGTATATTAAAGACGATTCTCAACAAGTGTTGACGCGAGATAACGAGATCAAGGAGAGATGGAGAAGCTTTTGATCTATTGTTCAACTCGGACCAAGAGAATAACATTTTAGACCTCTATATGTCTGTGTACGATAGAAACTTTAGCTACACTCGTAGAATTAGGACGATAGAGGTAAAGAATACCACGAAAAATATAAGGATTAGAAAAGCTTGTCGTTCAGATAGTATCTCTATAAAGGTTTGGAAGTGTCTTGGAGAGGTTGGAATAGAATGGCTCACCAAGCTATTCGATGCTATATTAAGAAGTGGAGGAAAAGTACCTTGATTCCAATTTACAAGAACAAAAGAGACATTCAAAGTTGTGGAAACTATCATGGTATTAAACTCATGAATCATACGATGGAACTCTGGGAAAGAGTGATAGATCATAGATTAGGAACACGAGAAGAGTGACAGAGAACCAGTTTGGATTTATGTCCAGTAGATCGATAACATAGGCATATTTTGTTAAGACGATTGATGGAAAAATGTTGCAAAAGGAAGAAAGATCTAGATATGATATTCATTGACCTAGACAAAGCATATGATAGAGTACCATGAAAGGTCTTTTGGTGGGTAATGGAGAGGAAAGGAATTCATATTAAATATATAAATGCCATAAAAGACATGTATGAAGGAATCATCACTAGTGAGAAAACAGTAGGAGATTCAGAGGAGTTACTTATAATAGTGGGTTTACAATAGGGATTGGCATTGAGCCGCAACTTGTTTATCCTAACTATTGATGAGCTAACCAACACAATATAAGATGAGGTCTCATGATGTGTGTTATTTGCTGATGATGTTGAATTAATTGATGAAATTAGCGAGGGTGTCAACCAAAAGCTTGAAGTATCACCGGCCATCCTTGTTTATAGTGGTTACGGAGTTCTCTCCAAACTACTAGTCAAGAGTTCAAGGCTGGTAAACGGTCTAAAAAAAGACTAAATACATGTAATGTAAGTATAGTCAGCATCAGAAGAGCGAAGTTGAGGTGAGACTAGATGGGATTTCGATGCCAAAATGCAAATAATTTAGATATCTAGGATCATTGTTTCAAGAAAATGAAATGATAGATGAAGATGCTACTCATATGATTAAAATCGAAAGGATGAAACGCAAAAGTACTACAGGGATATTATGTGATAAAAGGATGCCTACCAAAGTGAGAGGTAAGTTCTATAAAACAGCTTTAAGACCTGCAAAGTTATATGGTAGTGAATGTTGTGCTGCTAACAACAGAGAAGCGAATACTAAGATGGATGTGCGATCATATAAGATTAGATAAGATTAACTGACGACATATGTAATAAGGATAAATGAGAGAAGATCGCTTAAGATGGGTTGACCATGTCTTGCATCGACCTACAGATGCACGTGTCTGTAGGTGTGAAACTATAGTGAGTGAAGGAGTTAAAAAAGGACATGGTAGACCTAAAATCACATGAAAGAAAGTTGTCTCAAAAGACCTACAAATCCTTTGAATCAATGCAGACTTAAAGATAGAGCATAACGAAAGATAAAGATCCATACAGGTGATATCTACTAGTTGCGAATAGGTTTTAGACTTGTTAGAGAATTTCTACTTTATTTTATTCGGTATGATGATGATATGAGTTGATCTAAAGGAATAAGTGAGAGCCAACCCCAACTTGTTTTTATCAGCTATGTTCCTTTATATCTTGGATAACGGAAATCATACATGAACATATTTGTATCATATCCTTTTCTTATATCTTTCTAGCATCTACTGCCAAGAAAAGACATAGCAATACGAGCATTCATGTGTCAAAGGCACTTTAACAAACATAATAAAAACCAGTAAAACCAAAACTCGAATTTCCCTTCATTGGTCATTTTTGCACTTACCTCAAGAGGTGCAATACTTATTCAAGACTTATACTAATCAGAAAATTGTTAAATCACAAACCAATATGTAGGCATTTTCTAAAAGTAAACAGCTCAGAAACGCAATAAAAAGACACTTTTTATTAAAATTAGAGAATAAAGCAAATGCTTAACTGGAAAGTAGTAAAGACAAGAAATTGGGCTTGGTAATGTACCTCTGAGGTGGAATTCTTGAGACCCTTCTTTTGATATTGATTTTGATGTACAGCTTTAGGAATAAATGGAGAAGAAGAAGGAGGAGGTCTTATGGGTGTTGAGAAGCGGTAGGACGTTAGAGAGTATAGTGAAGTGCCGGCAGAGAACCAGCAGGTTGCAGCTGCAGCTGCCATATTTATGTACTAACAAAATGTAGCAAATGCAATGGAGAATACTAATTTGCTATAGTGTTATAGAATGGAACTCGGCCTGTTTTCCTTATCCACAAAATCGTCCTGCTAAGGTAAATATTCACGCCTTTTTGGGTTTTGGCGCCTCCTCTTGTGCCCCCGGTACCCCTACTTCTTATTCAACAAATCAATTAGCTACTTAAATAAGCAGCAGAAACTTTCAAAAACCACTATGTTTTAGTAGTTATTAGTTAGTTGTAGCTACTATTTACTATATTATTTCCTATAATTATGTTTTTAGATTTTTTAGAGTGTATTCGATGTATTTAAGCTACTGTATTTGTCACGACCCAAACCGATAGGCCGCGACGGACACCCGGTATCTTACTCAACCGAGTACCAACGTAACGTATCTTTCTTATTACATCATCAT